TATATATGTGTGTGTGTGTGTGTGTGTGTGTGTGTGTGAGAGAGAGAGAGAGAGAGACAGACTTGGCATTGTCTGCATAACAGCACACCCTGAACTTGAATTATTTAGATCACCTAACTCCCCTGGCCCCCTGTGGGACGTCAGCCCACAGTGAGTTCCCTGTCCTTGGCAACATGTTGAGCCTCTCCCAGGTTCATCTTGGCTGCAGTGGCTTCTCTGTGATAGCTCCGCATCAGGTCTTTCCTTCTGCCTGGAGGACTCCATCTCAGTGATCTGCCTCCATTTGAACCCATTGTAATTCATAGTACCAAGGTGTTTGCCACATAGGCCTCTCTGGTTCCTCGATGCTTTGATTCCCTGCCAACATTCACAACTGTACAATATTTAGGACCCACTTTGCTGTTATATGGTTGAACCTTTGTTTGAGGCTGTATTGATCAGACTTTCAGTTGTTCTATAGTTGGGAAGCAAACCCTGAACAGTCTTCTCTTGTAGTGTGCATAAAAGTATTCCCATCACTTGTGTAGTAAACCTCTGTGAACTTCCACCAGTTTAAACCATCTGCTCCTGAAATTCCACTAATATTAAATTAGCTGAGCCACAAAACCAAAAGTCCAAATTCTGGTGCTGTCTTTCATTGTCTCTAAACTGATTACTTTGATGCTTAATGTGCTTGATTGTGGTCAGTGCATTTGTTTCTCATTTACCGAGTACATCTGTATCTCATCTGCTTTAATTCAGACAATCAGACATTACGAGATGGCAGCTCCACTGCCAGATATCACACATTGAGGGTTCTCTGCTCTCTCTCAGCATTCGCTAGCTGTTAATATTGCATTGCAGCTGATGTGCTATGCAAGTTTAATCTAGAAGCACATACTGAGATGTTTAATTCATTGTCCAGTTGCCTGCTGTCGGTGGTTTCTTACAGACCAGCCAAGGCAGGATACTCGAGGCTTGATTTCTGTGATTTTAATGTGTGGTTTGATAGTGAAAGAAAACATTTATGGTTTGTAAGTTTCAATTTAATCTTCTGTTTGTGCTGCACATAGTCATCCCTCTCGTGTCCCCTGTTGCTCTGCCCCACACGTTTGGACAAACTGATCAGACCGACCTTGGTCATTTTAGGAGATAAAAAGGAGACGTTACAGATGATCGTGTTTGTCTCTAGTTTTGTGACAAACATAATGCCAGCCATTCATCTGTTGCTGCCAAGCATCAGTAGTAGTAATTGTGACACCCTACCATCTGTATAGTCCCGTGAATTTCATTTTTATTTCCAATAGCATTTATGGAATGAACTTCTGAGCCTGATTTTTGATTGTGTTTGATACAGTAGTTTACCACCAATGCCTAATTTTAAACAGTTTTAATGGTTTAACAGGAACACTGCAGATGATACTTTTTTAAAATGAGAAATAAATGGGGATCCTCTCTGGATTTAGTCAGCAGCTTGTCCCTGGTTGTGCTTTTAATGCTCTTAACCTGCAGGAGCTGATAGTCAGTGGTTAACAAATGAACTCCTCTTAACTTTTCCTGTTGTCTGCCCACTTGCAGCTGGGGTACAGGTTGGGGAATTGGCGGCTACATGTGGTTGGCCAAGGACCAAGGTAACCTCTGTGGAATAGCTTCACTGGCCAGTTACCCTAAGGTCTAACATCTGCATCATAATGTTTTAATCTCAATAGCTTGGCTGGAGATTCTCCTGTGTTTTATGAGACAAACACTGAATTTTGGGAAATGGGGCCATTTCTGATTCTGATTTTGTTTTGCCTGGCTTTATGCCACTTTGTCATCTGAAAGATTTTACTGTGATCAATTAAAAGTTGTTAAGCTTTAGTTTGGTGTTTGGACTTTTGTTTTTAAATAGTAGTTTTTAGCTTTAAAGACCTGAGTGGTCCTTCTGTGAACATGCTGCACACTGATTGGTGCTTTGCAGGGAGAGTCTGCAAAGTTAGAATGACTTCAAAGATTAATTACAGGCCCAATTAAACTAAAAACAAACCTACAAAAATATTCATTTGCCAAAGAATAGGCTCGTATAAATGAGTCATTTTATATAAAAATGTTGAATAGAGGCTCTTTAATTCTAAAATCACCAAAATAGAAATGACTTGTTTACTGCCAACTGGGTTTTTTTTTTCAGGATGGGTAGAGTCAGATGGGAGTATGTGTGGGTCGGTACTGCCTGTATCCTCACATGCTAAAAACTATTAGATGTTTGGCTTCCTTAATGAAAAGTCAGCAAAGACGTGTGTCAAAAACCCTAGTGCATATTTATAGGCAGAAGAATTTTACAGGATTATCTGTTTCATGTATTTATAGCTTTTTCTCTTTTTCTCTCAGGATGGAAAGACAGTGGAGGATTTGGCTTCTAACAATCAACATGAACACATAGTCTTCTTGCTGGGCAAGCTCAAAAAGGTGATGTTTATCAAGAATACAGCATGTTACCTTGGATCAGTGTTTTGTTTTTGTTTTTTTACATTGTTATTCAATAGAATAAAGGGAAAAGAAAAGACAACTCTGCATGATGCAAAACCAGATTGTACAATCCCTCATCACACATTTTACTGCAGGGGAGTTGAGAGAGAGAGAGAGTCCAACAGGAATGTGTTAGAGTGTAGCATCACACCATTTGTACACTTTGCGGCAGCACTTTACTCCACACGGCCAAGTAGAAATGAACGATACCAGTAGTGAATGAAGTATTTGGATCAAACATTCTAATCAACTTTATTTTATTTTTAGGCTGCAAATGTTGTCAGTAGCTACGTGACTAAAAGCTTTTGGAACATAAACATGTTTCAGAGCCTTTTAGTGCTTTGTTGAAATATGTATTAGAGATTTTAACTGCTTTATTCATAATGACCAAGTAGATTGTAGTGAGTGAACCTGTTGGGCTTCGGTGTCTTGCTCAAAGGCACTTGAATAAGACAAGACGCATGCTGCTGTGATCAAAGCTGAGGCCCTCCAGCTGCATGACATTCAGATTTTCAATGCTCTTCCCTCCAGTGGCGATGGGAGACGCTGATACAAGACACATCCACCAGAGCATGGACTTTTTTTTTTTTTTACCTACAGTGCCTTGCGAAAGTATTCGGCCCCCTTGAACTTTGCGACCTTTTGCCACATTTCAGGCTTCAAACATAAAGATATAAAACTGTAATTTTTTGGGAAGAATCAACAACAAGTGGGACACAATCATGAAGTGGAACGAAATTTATTGGATATTTCAAACGTTTTTAACAAATAAAAAACTGAAAAATTGGGCGTGCAAAATTATTCAACCCCCTTAAGTTAATACGTTGTAGCGCCACCTTTTGCTGCGATTACAGCTGTAAATCGCTTGGGGTATGTCTCTATCAGTTTTGCACATCGAGAGACTGAAATTTTTGCCCATGCCTCCTTGCAAAACAGCTCGAGCTCAGTGAGGTTGGATGGAGAGCATTTGTGAACAGCAGTTTTCAGTTCTTTCCACAGATTCTCGATTGGATTCAGGTCTGGACATTGACTTGGCCATTCTAACACCTGGATATGTTTATTTGTGAACCATTCCATTGTAGATTTTGCTTTATGTTTTGGACCATTGTGTTGTTGGAAGACAAATCTCCGTCCCAGTCTCAGGTCTTTTGCAGACTCCATCAGGTTTCCTTCCAGAATGGTCCTGTATTTGGCTCCATCCATCTTCCCATCAATTTGAACCATCTTCCCTGTCCCTGCTGAAGAAAAGCAGCCCCAAACCATGATGCTGCCACCACCATGTTTGACAGTGGGGATGGTGTGTTCAGGGTGATGAGCTGTGTTGCTTTTACGCCAAACATAACGTTTTTGAAACCTGCTGAGCTTCAGTGCAGAGTGTGAAAACATGAAAGCAGCAACTGTGAAAACAGTCATCCTCTGCATATGCTGGGCTAATTTAAGTTAAGACACTTGGGCACGTGGATGTCGGATTATAAAGAGAGGCTGGCTTCCCAATAAAGTCGCAGTTCTGTTCCTGTAACCTTTGAAGAGAGAGTTCAGCAAAATTCATTTCAAAATGTGTATTGTTTTGTGCTCAGATATGTATCACGCCTATTTACTTTATTTACATAAGGCATGGCTGTGGCTCAGGGTTAGAGTGGCTCGGTCCCTGTTCTCCCCCTTCCACGTGTCGAAGTGTCCTTGAGCAAGACGCTGAACCCCAGGTTGCTCCCACTGGCCAGGCCAGCACCTTGTATGGCAGCTGCCATCGGTGTGTGAGTGCTTGTGTGTGTGAGAGGGTGAATTGTGAAGCACTTTGTCCAGTAAGGTAGAAAAGCGTTGCAGTCCATTTACTGAAATTGGAAGCTTTATTTCTTGAATGCAGCGTTACCCTAGTCCAGGTGGGTGTATGGAGTGCTTTCACATCCCACACAACCGCTCACAGTGTTTGAAGCCTCTTCTGATGTGTGACTCATCTGTTAGATGGTTTAAAAAGTGTCTTACATGTTAACAAATCTTAACTGTTTACTTGGCAGAGTTACAGCTGGGCACACAGGAGGCATCGTCTGTGTTTTTACACAGAGAAACGTAGTTAGATTAGTGGGTGGATCTATTCAAATAACAGCAGGAGGACTGACCCCAAAAGAGTCATTTGATTGTAAAAACTGTGTGATCATTGCTCAGTGTGATCAGTTCATCACCAGCCTCAGCTCCCCAATCACATCAGGTGACTGAGAGAATGTTAGTTTCTTCAGAGGGGTTTGAGGAGATGGGCCTGTGTGTTATAATATCCATGCATTTGACCTGGAGCCTAACATTTCTTTAGAGAAATGCCAAACCTCATCAACCAGTCAGCAAGATTGGTAGTGTAAAGAAGCTGGGATCTATTATGCATGTGGAACAAATCTGATTAATTGAAATCTGTTGTCTGATTTTTGGGGCTCCTTGAAATGAAACCATTAGAGCCTATGACATAGAGAAGATAAATGTGTGCCTATTGGCGACCTGAGCTCTGGGTTTTTAATAAATCCTCTTCTTCCTCTGTGGTGTGTATTTTCTGGGTCAGGACAACCACAAGCTGAGCTACATCCAGCAGCTGCGGCTCACTCAGACGGTTCAGCCCAGGATCAAACTGAAGCTGTTTGGTCACTCTGGAGCCGGGAAGAGCACCCTGCTGGAGTCTTTGAAATGTGGCATCCTGCGCAGCTTCTTCAGGAGGAGGAGGACACGCATGACCAACACGGCCCGCCACCCCAACTCCCCCGTCAACTCCAAACCTGCTGGTAGGTGACAGAATGATCCGAGGAAGCTGTGAGCCTGCAACTCCTCTGCCGAGGGTCAGAACTTTTTTTTAATTTTTTTATTTTGCCAGTCTTGCTAATGCAAAATAACAGTATTTACTTAATGCTTGTTCTCCTACATTTATCAACTTCATGCAACAGTTTCCATGTTCAAGAGATTTTGAAGTGTGAAAATAATTCACACTGTTCAGTGGTAAAATTGAGAAAGATACATGGCGCTAGTTGGTGAGTGCAGTGGTAGAAATGTTGGCCAACGTTACAAAAATCAAACACCACATGAAATCAACTGGAATCATTCTTGAAGTAAGCAGGAGGAAGTTTTGCAGACATTTAGCTGCTGCGTTCGTCAAGCCAGTGTAACAAGCTGGGAATCGGACATCTGCTTTTTTTTTTCTTTTTTTTTTTTACTGATCTTGTGCATTTATCCACCAAAGGCAAGTTTCACCAGCGTCAACCTGGCAAAATGTTCAAGGAACATGGAGAGTTATTTTCTCCCGGAGCATCTTCTTCAGTCTTACAATTGGAGTTAGAATCCCAACCTCTGGAAACCTGAAAACTGAATTCATTAACAGTCTTTATTGACTCCGTGCTGTATCTGCAGCAGTATGTGATGATTCCACATCGAAAAACGGTGAAGAAGGGCTGAGAAGGAGCAAGTGCTGTCATGATGTAGATTTCTATTCAAGCAAACTTAATACAAGCATATTAAACGCACATTTACCTTCATCAGATGCCACCATTTGTAACTTCATGATGTCATTGGCCACAAAGAAAACTTCAAGCATGTCTTAAAGACATAAAGGCCTGGATGACCTGCAACTTCTTACTTCTAAACTCTGACAAAACTGAAGTTATTGTGCTTGGGCCTGAAAACCTTAGAAATCTGCTGTCTAATCATATAGTTACTTTAGATGACATAGCTCTTGCCTCCAGTACTACTGTGAGGAACCTTGGAGTCATCGTTGATCAGAATATGTCCTTTAAATCACACATAAACCAAGTCTCTAAAACTGCCTTCTTTCACCTGCGAAATATTGCAAAAATCAGGAGCATCCTGTCCCAAAGTGATGCTGAAAAACTGGTCCATGCATTTGTTACTTCCAGGCTGGACTATTGTAACTCTTTACTATCAGGATGTCCCAATAATTCCCTAAAAAGCCTCCAGTTAATCCAAAATGCTGCAGCCAGAGTACTGACAGGAACTAGCAAGAGAGATCATATCTCTCCCATATTAGCTTCTCTCCACTGGCTCCCTGTAAAATTCAGAATAGAATTTAAAATCCTTCTCCTAACATACAAAGCCCTTAATGACAAGGCTCCATCGTATCTTAAAGACCTCGTAGAGCCTTATCATCCTAACAGAGCACTTCGCTCTCAGAGTGCAGGTCTACTTGTGGTTCCTAGAGTCCACAGAAGCAGAATGGGAGGCAGAGCCTTTAGCTATCAAACTCCTCTCCTATGGAACCAACTCCCAGTCTCAGTTCAGGAGGCGGACACCCTCTCTACCTTTAAGATTAGACTTAAGACGTTCCTTTTTGATAAAGCTTATAGTTAGGGCTGGATCAGGTGACCCGGAGCCTTCCCTTAGTTATGCTGCTATAGGCCTAGGCTGCTGGGGGCCCCATGATGCTCTGAGTTTCTCTCTTCCCCTTCCCTCCCCTCTCCTTTCCTCTACTCTCCTTTCCTCTCTCCTTATGCTTCTATATGCCACTATTACACATTACTAACTTTGCGTCTCCTCTCTCCCGTAGTGTGTCCTCTCTCTCTCCCTGTACCTTTCTAAAGGGAGTTTTTCCTCCCCACTGTCGCCAAGTGCTTGCTCAAGGGGGATTTGTTGGGTTTTCCCTATGTAATAATATTGATAACAGTAAAGTCTAGACTTTACTTTGTAAAGTGTACTGAGATGACTTTTGTTGTGATTTGGCGCTATACAAATAAAATTTGATTTGATTTGATTTGACAAAACTCAACTTGACACCTGAAAGAATTTCACTTTAAAAATCGCTAACACCAAAAATAGTGCTGAGGGGAGGTTGTGCTTTGCTTGAATACAGCAGGGGTCCTACAGTAGTTATAGTTTGACATTTCTTCTAAGACACTTTGGCCTGTCAGTAAGAAAATGGGTGTGAGAAAGGTGTTGCATCCCTGAAGCTCAAAACTGCAGCAGCTGTTATTATTAAGGAAATGGTCTGAAAACAAGTGACATGATATGGCTTCAGTTGACATGTCATTTTACATTTTTAACATTATTTACACACAATAAAAGCCTTCCTTTTGGATGGGAGAACTTTTTCGTGTTATTTGATGTGACCAGCTCTGCAGTGAAGTAATCCTCAGTGTGTATGCCAGTGTCATCACTGTTAAAACAACAAACAGCTGAATATCCCATCGGGACCCTGAAGGCAGTGCACATACTGAGAGCAGCAGCAGCAGCAGCCAGAGGACAGAACGTTCTGCAGATCGCCAGCAGTCACTCGTGTTCAGAAGCTTTTTATAGCCAACATTATTCATTTTGTAGAGTGATGGATTACAAAGAAATAATCATCAAGCCTACTTGTGAATTTGTGTGTGTTTACAGCCTTGGTGGTGAAAACCAGGCAGTCTAGACCCAAACATACACAAACTGCAGAAAAAAAGACATTCAGACTGTGGTTCAAGACCAAAGAAAACAAACTGTAGGTGTGGTCCTGCAGAGTGTAAAGGAAATACAAGTGTTTCATCTGCACAGTGGTTTTATTTGTGATAAAATAGCGCCCCCATGTGTCAGACAGCATGTAATTACTAGGTGAAAATTTAAAACTGCGGATGCAGATCTGTTTAGGGACATAGGGCGATTGATAGGTGATCAGTTTGTTCTTCGTACAGATCTGCTCTGGAACCATCTGAAACATGAAACTGTTCAACCAGATACATGATACACAGGCACAGGTTTTGTGAAATATTCCAATTAATTTTTTTTAAAGTTGCCATATTTTCTGTTTTGTACTTGTCACATATGTGCAGTTTCTGATGAAAGAGAGAACGGACATGCTTTTATAACGCTAATCTGTACAAACATACATGGGTATTATAACACCCTAAAGCTCTTATTTGCCGTTTTCTTTGACCCATTTTCAGACCATTCTGGGCAAAGTGGACCAGCCTCCAAAAGAGCATTGTTAAATTTGGACATGTCAAGTGAAGCAGCTCTGACCCTGCTGTAATAACTGACAGACATTACCGGTTGTCTCTCTTCTGTTCTCAGTGTCTGTGAGTATTTCCAACTTGTACCCGGGCTGTGAGAATGTGAGTGTGCGGAGTCGCAGCATGATGTTTGAGCCCAGCCTCACCAAAGGCGTCCTGGAGGTCTTCTCCCCCGTCCACAGTGCTTTGTCTACAGCTGACGACCAGGCCACGAGGGCCATCGACATCCAGCACGCCAACATCCACGGTGGGAACCACAGACACAGTTCTTTTTTTTTTTTTTTTAAACCTTTATTTCATTTTAAGGTGCGAACAGTTGTAACTTCTTTCACCCTGTGTAGGTGTGGGGGATTTTAGTGTGTGGGAGTTTTCAGGGAACCCGGTCTACTACTGCTCCTACGACTACTTTGCAGCCAACGACGTCACAGCAATCCATCTGGTCCTGTTCAGCCTGGAGGAGCCATATGAAACCCAGCTGGGCCACATCACCTACTGGCTGAACCTGCTGAAAGCCCTGACCCTGCCCCAGGACAGCATCGGTGAGGGGACGCCAGCTTTTGCCATGTTTTTACCAGGACTGATCACTACACGAGCCTGTCCTGTGTCTTCTGAAATAGACTCAGATATTAGAGGTTACTACCAGATTTATGTACAGAAAGAAAGTGAGCCAGTTAAGCAAGACGCTCATAATTATCTTGATTCTGTTGGTGTATTTTAATAAACTGTTGTAGACAAACCGAGTCTTTTAGAAAATACCATTGTCATGTCACTGAAATGGTTCATGAAATGACATTTTGAACAGTTCCAAGGTCTATGGGATGCAATTTTACTGACACTTCACAGGATCATAAATAAAGATCCTGGCTTTTCTGTCTTACTGGCCAGTTTCACTTGTATTTTAAACTGGTCTGTAGTGTTTTGCAGTTAAATTTGTCAGAATTTGTTGTTCACTAACAATGTTGTGGAGCAGGTAAAGAGAAATAGTTTTTTTTTTTAATGTCAGTAACCTTGTATAAATACACAGGAGTGAGGACATCAGGTGTATGAGGCAGCATTTCACTTTGTTACAGGATTGAGGTTTTACGCTGGAGGGATTTTTTAATGTAATTTTATTTTATTTTGCATTGTTACACTCTTCACTGAATTTTCCCAGTTGTTGTAAGGGTTAGGTTTTTCCAGAAGATAAATGATTTATTTTGGCGTGAATGGAGCTGAGCCCTTTGAAGCTGTTGCTTGGTCAGCCATGTGTTTTACTTTGAAAGTCTTAATTGACCCAGAATTCATGGCAAGGACCAAGTGGCTATGTGCACCAGTTACATCTGTCCGAAGCCAGACAATTAGGTGGTTCTGTTTTTGTGCAACCAGCCCCAGACATTTGATCAAACTACACCCAGAATGTTGTTGAAATGTTATGGAGTTTAGGTGTTGGTACTCAGGTACACTCAGTTTTGTTTTAATAGCTACTGAATCTGCTGGAAGTTGTCATTTTGTGTGTTTAACAGTAAAAACCCGTCATAGGTTTTTTTGTTAGCTTTGGAGGTTTTGGCAAACGGTGGACTGTTCTGACTGTGTGTGTTTTCCTGTCTTTCTCCAGCGTTCGGAGGTCGAATCCAGCAACCTCTTGTGGTTGTCCTGGCGGCGACGCATGCTGACCTCGCTGACCTCCCCAGAGCTTTCTCTGGAGAGTTCAGCTACGACAAGGAGAGAGCGCTGCTCAAGGAAGTCAGGAACAGGTCAGTACTCTCAGCACACAGGACACGCTGGGAGATTAGTTTGTTTGGATCCTTTTGCTGATTCATTTTATTCACTGGGGGGGGAACAGTTTTGTAATAGACTGTGTGAAGATTTTCTGTGTGTTTGTTGAATCAAATAACTGTAAATACTACACTACCCAGGAGCCTCAGCAGCTGTTGTTATGGAGAACCAAATAAAACACCACAGTTGCTAAAGAGAGATTAAAATTTTTGTTTGCAGGTTTGGGAACGATCTGCAGGTCAGTGACAAACTATTTGTGATGGACGCTGGAGCCTCCAACTCCAAAGACATGAAGCTGCTGAGGAGCCACCTGCAGGAGCTTCGCACCAGCATCATCTCGGTGAGCTCTCACCTGTTTGTCTCCCTTTGTCTTTCACATTATTTGTGTGTATTTTTGAACCACTTAATTTCTTAATCTTCTTCAAAAAGCATGAACACACATTTCCATTAACAGATCCAAATCTGACAGTACGGTAGTTTGATAAAAATATAGTTTGAACTTGGCTGAAAGTAACTGAGTTTTCTAAATCAGTCAAGATTGTTTTACTTTCTTCACCCATCAGTTTAGTTAGAGCAGTTCAACTAAGGAACTGATGTATACAGTGAATCCACATCCCGTTGCAGAGTTGCAGTCCCATGACGCTGTTGTCAGAGCGTTTACTGGCCACCCTGCCCACCTGGAGGAAGCTGAACGGACCAAACCAGCTGATGTCATGGCAGCAGTTTGTCAGCGATGTCCAGGAGCACATCAACCCTCTGGTGAGCCAGGATCACCTGCGCATGCTGGCCCTGCAGCTTCACAGCATGGGGGAGGTGAGTCCTCAATCAGGACCTTCACATCACAAAAGGGAAAGAAAATAATTCCGTTATCTTTTGGGATAAGAACACCCCCCTGTCATCTTATTTTGTCCACATCAGATCGTTTTGGATCACTTTCGTTCACTCTGCTTCTTCTCTGACTTGTATTGTACCGTAAACTTAATTTCTATTACTTTTCCTCCCTCAACCACCCTCCCCCTTCTTTCGTCCTCCCTCAGCTCAACATCATGCAGAGTGAGACGGTGCAGGACGTTGTACTGCTGGAGCCTCGCTGGCTCTGCAGCAACATCCTCGGCAAGCTGCTCTCTGTGGAAACGCCCAAGGCCATCCACCACTACAGGGGCCGCTACAGGTTGGAGGAGGTGCAGGCTCTGGCTCCTGAAAGTGACGTGGATGAGCTGCTGCAGATTCTCGATGCCATGGACGTCTGTGCCCGCGACATCACCAACCCCACTATGATAGATGTTCCGGCTCTCATCAAGACAAATGGCCTCCACCGCTCCTGGACCGAAGAGGAGGAGGAGGAGGAGTCGCCTCTGATCTACGGTGGGGTACGACTCGTCCCAGCCGAGCACCTCACCCCCTTCCCCTGTGGCCTGTTCCACAAACTGCAGGTGAACCTGTGTCGCTGGAGCCACCAGCAGAAGCCAGAGGAGGAGGGCGGGGAGGATAACGACGGAGATATCCACCTGTGGACCAGCGGAGCCAAGGTGAGCCAGGCAGGAGTGGAGGCTATGATCCTGTTGGTCAACCATGGCCAAGGACTAGAGATTCAGGTGCGTGGGCACGACTCCGAGCGTGCCAAGTGCTACACCCTGTTGGACACCGTTTGCAGTATAACAGAAAACCTGCTGGCCTCCACGCTCCCTGGACTGCTCACAGCCAAATACTACCTGAGTCCTCAGCAGCTGCGGGAACACCATGCCCCCATCATGATCTACCAACCCAAAGACTTTTACCGAGCCCAAGTCCAGCGTGAAACTTCGCTCACCAACACCATGGGTGGATACAGGGAGAGCTTCAGCAGCATCCTGACTTTTGGCTGTGCTGAAATTTACCAGCAGGGGATTCTGGGAACAGACATCCACATTTCAGATGTCCCCCTGCTGGCTCGCAGGAAGCTGTGCCGCATGTTGGACCCTCCTGATGCTCTGGGGAAAGACTGGTGCCTGCTGGCCATGAACCTCGGCCTCACAGACTTGGTGGCCAAACACAGCAGCGGCACTCCAAATGGCGCTCCTGAGCTGGACTCAGATGCAGACTCCCAGCAGGCTGTGCTGCAGCTCAGCCCGACAGCAGCACCGCTGCAGGAGGCACTGCTGCAGGAGTGGAGTGGGCGAGCAGACAGCACAGTGGGTGTACTGATGGCCAAGCTGAGGGAGCTCGGCCGCCGAGACGCTGCCGACTTCTTGCTCAGAGCGTCTCCTGTTTTCAGAGTCAACATGGAGACTTTGGGAGGGGCCGCCAATGGCTAACCCCCCACCTGCAACGGAGGAACATCATACAACTCCATCAGCTCAGTCATATCTCGCTGAACTGAACAGGGTCGGCTTTCTGTCTCTGCCAAACGTCAGACAGTTGGTCTGATGGGATATTTCCCCAAAAGAGGACCATTTGTGTATGAATGAAGTGCAATTGTTACCAGAGTCCAGCTGCTCGCTCTTTAACTCCATTAAGTTGCCCTGTGAAGCAGATGTTGTTTTTGTGCTTTCCACACCTGTACAGCCGACCCTTCCTTCCACGATGAATGTTGTGAAAGAACTGGATGCCCTGAGTTCCAAAGAGGAATCCTGTGATTCTTATTCTGGTCTTTTTGAGCTGCTTTTTAATATCCCTCCTACACTACTGCACGCACAGGCCTCCCTCCTCTTACAGCTGACAGAGTACAGAAAAGTTTCATCTTATCATCTCTACATGAAAGAATGGGCATGGTTAAAAAGATGGTGGTGTCACGTTTGGACCTTTTTCATATCTGTCCACCAGTAAAAAACTGAAACCTCATTTTATCACGTAGGAGGCTGTCATCTTTACTCACTCCATCCATCACACTTGCATATAATCCTATCTCCCTCCTTTCCTCTGTTTTACTGGTGTGACATTTGGCCATTCAGCCTAGTGTTTAATAAATTTATAGCATTTTTCAGAGTGCCTTTGTGGCCTTCTACCTCCCTAAAGAGCACAATATTCTTGCTTTTATAAAAACAGTAGTTCTTTCCAAACATTTGAAGAACTGTGCCTTGTCGACACTCATAGTAAAATGAATTTCAACCACGTTTAGAAAGCAGGCGATCTGTTACTGAAGTGGAAAAGGCTGTTTTACATTTTAGACAGGAAAAAGTGGCCAAGAAAAAAAAAGCAAAGCTCATTTTACAAAGTTTTGAAATTTGAATTACACTTGTAAATTAAAACAAAACAGTCACATGACAAAAATCAGGCCATTAGACTTCCTGTTTTGTTTAACATTTGGGAGTCGGTCAGGAGATAAAACATGTTCAGTCTTCTCTCTGATTCAGTGTGGAGACAATGTGACACCTTGTGGGAGCTGCAGGCTGAGTCAGTGAGGACCCGTTTCAATATGTTTAACAACTAATCTTCAAGAACCATCACTCCATCCATCATTCATCCATCCAACAACATTGCTGGTGAATTTGCTAACACTTTGTTTTACGGGTCCAATTATTTCCTATTAATTTCATGAAAGTTTAATGGAAGGAAACGTGTAATTTGGTACTAATTACAGGAAAAACCGTTTAGCTACTTGTGTTGACTTGGATGTTGAGCTCCAGGTGAATTTCCATGAAAGAAGTTACTCATTTTAAATCACAGAGAATTAGTTATTACTCACTAATTTTTAGTAGAAATTTTACTTTTCATTTATGTTGAATTGTATTTGTTTGTTGACACATTTCACACTTTGTGCAGCTCACCTGCTAGCCTCTGAATAAAGAGTCCAGGTTGTGCTAGCTTAGCATTTGGGAGTAACTGGAAGTGGACCGACTGCTCTGTTTTACCTGTAATTCGTACCAAACTGTGATTCTTTCCAAGAAACTAATTAGGAGATTATTTGGAAATACTGTAAATTGGAATTTGCAAACCTGCAGAATAAGGTGTTACCCTGACTTTTTTTGGTAAGTCTTCATTTTATAAGTCCCGGGATTTCCTAAATATCTCTAGTGAGTTTTCCTGGAAAGTGTGATGTAACATGGTGCTACTTCAGTGTAGTTTGAATTAAGTTAAAGGTTTTTGATTATCTCAGACGTCTCTTGGTATTGTTGGTGTTTCCGTTCGACCGCCAGCCTCACCTTTTCAGCCTTTGGTCTCGTGCCTTGTTCTTTCTATTCTGCAGCAGAATATCACCCGCGCTGTTTTGTCATGTTCATGTGCGGATAATGTTTGTGCACTACGGTGTGTCATTGCCATGTTACAGGTAAATATTGTCATTTTGGGTATGTACATTTATGCACACATATGGAAATATATCAAATGTTCACAGTTAGCTTACCATATTTCATTTTTATTTAACATAATTGTCTTGGTCATGGTTTGCTCCTGAACCTTCATGGACTTCACTTTGACTTGATCTCAGTTCTCAGTTTAAGTGACCTTGACTACAGTCGTGGTATTTACAGAGAAAATAGAGACTAGAGAGTTCTGAGACACTTCCTTGAGTTTAGTTAGCTAAAATCTTGACTTTGTGAATGACTAGAAAAACTGAGTTCTGCATCTTGTCTGTGGCACATTTTTGGTTTTTGCATTTTCAGATGATACTGTATGTAACTGGAATGAATCAATTAGAAGTGCGGTGGTCGAATGCTGCACCAAAGTACTTTGTCCTTTCTGAGAACTGTCATAAAAGTGTACAGTATCATCAGTTCCTGTCTGAACAAATCATTAGGAGACTGAGACCTGTAAAATAAAGTGTTACTGTTTGGGAACCTCAGTATTTTACTGAAGATTTTATTGAGACTGATCCTTCCAGCACCAACATTTATTTGCTGTAGTGGGATGCACGTTATTGATGAGCACTAGTGTTCAGAACCCCAACTGTGCTCTCATTCTGCTTTGAGTAGAAGCTGCCACCAACGTAAGAAAGTAACATAAAGAAAGCTGAAGTTGTCACTTGGGTGACTTTTATCATTTTCAACCAAGCTGAAAGCTCATTTATTATATCCAGAGCCGTTAGTTACTGTAAACACACCTGCTTTCAGTTTGTCTTTATACAACAGGCAGCAGCCGTCCAGCTCGGTTGAAGGCTGAAAAAAGAATTTTCATTTGGCAGAAGCTGTTTGTGACCTAAAGTGGAAGCAGAAACATTCGCCTTTATTTACAGCATGTGTTGATGTTGGGAAGAGAGTCGGTCATTCCCAACAAGTGAGGCTTGCAAAGGGCCTTTTTCAGGACACAGTGTGACAGTTTGATAGAAAACGCCAGTATTTCCTATCTGCTTTTCTTCCTCCAGTGTTACATCTGTTCAGAGATAAAACGACTATTTCAGATACTGTATTTCTCTCACTAGCACAGCAAACGTTCGGCTGTGATGTAAATACTCGAGGCCTGTTTCTTTGACTTTGTCCTAACTTTTCAGCTTACTTTAAACTTTCTCCTTTGCCCAAATATGTTGATTCCAGGGCGTCATTGTGGCACAGTGGTTAACGCTGTCACTTCACAGCAAGAAGGTTGCGAGTTTGAGCCCGAGCCGACCTGGGGCCTTTCGGTATGTAGTCTGCATGTTCTCCCTGTGCCTGCGTGGGTTCTCTTCAGGTAGTCCAGCTTCCTCCCACAGGCCAAAGACATGCAGCTTAGGTTGACTGGGGTTTCTAAATTGTCTGTAGGAGTGAGTGTGTGTGGTTGCCTCTTCTCTACGTATCAGCCCTGTGATAGACTGGTGGTGTGTTTGGGGTGGACCCTGTCTCTCGCCCAGTGTCAGCTGGGATTGGCTCCAGCCCCCTGACACCCTCTTCAGGATAAGCGGTATAGATAAGAGATGGATGGATGTTGATTCGTGTTAGGGTGATTTTCATTTTTAGATAGAAATGAATAATTAGTTAGGGTTTTTATTATATAGCATACATAAGTTTATATATATTTTAATCTCACAGTTATGTTTATGTAGTTACATATCTATATATCACCCTATGTGTTCACTGAATCACTGGTCAGTATTTACTGTGTTAGCCAACTGGAGCACTGGTTAACATCAAGGGAGACTGGATCACTAAAACACTGAAACTCATTAGATTATATTCCAGTGAGGCGAAATGAATGTACTACACATCTTTCCTAAGAATATGATGATCATTGCCAATGTTGTGTGCCTAAAAGGCACTCTTGTTCATGCCTCTGTTATTGCCTTGTACAGTGCAGAACCCGAGAAGTGATGTTTCAGAAAGGGAAGTGAATAGTAAGGTGGATTCTCTTGTTTCAGAAAAAGAGGCACTTTTTGACTGGGAATCACTTTGATGTTAAGTTTGTCTTTGTTTGGTGTCCATTTCTTGACAGTCTGACCACAACAAGTGGATTTAAAGGTGTTCTCAAAAAATGTTTTCTGTGTTTCCATTTGATTAGGGGAGACCTGCTCACTCTTACCTTTGGCTCTGGTCTGGTCGCCACATTGCACAAGTCTTTTTGTCGCTATCTATGTTACATTCTGTAAGCATGTCTTGGAATGCCATGTTCTTAGTACTTCTGACACTTTATAGTGTGATACATTTTATAATAAATGCTTTACCTAACATTGTGCCTGTCCTAATTGGAGACTTTCAGTTAGACATTCTTTAACGTCTCTCAGCTAGAAGAGTAGCTGAGGGATGTTAACATTTAAAATGTAATACAGGACACAGATGATTTACAGATCACTATTTTCAGTTTTCATTTTGATTTGACATACCGTCCCAACTGTTTCTGATTTGAGGTTGTAGCCTTTGCTTCTATTTAATCCAAAAATGTTGGTTTTAAAGCACAGAACTGAGTGGAAGAGTGGCTGCTCATCTGGTACAAACACACCTCCTTTTTGAAAATGCGTGTTCAAATCAAATTAAATCAAATCTTAATTGTATATGTGGTGCACCTAAAGATATGTCACCACGTTGTTTTCAGTTAATTTATTATTTCATAATTGACAATTGAATGTACATTTTATTTTGGTGCCACATTTATACTTTTAGAACATTATGATGTTTGGCGCCTGCTGTCCTGGATTCAGTGGTTGGAGAACAGAAAAGGGTAAAGCGGAACCTTTGTGCGCTTGGTGTTGCACCCAGAATGGTTTTGGGAAGGGACCTTCTGTCCTCGCCCCCAGATGCAGTCTGGATGCGAATGCCAGCGCACCGTGAGAGTTCTGTTCTGATGTCACATTGTGTTTTCCAGGTCAGTAGACGGTGAAACTACACATACAAAGCAGTATGATAGTATTTAATAATTTGTTAGTATAGCGTACTGTTCGGGGTATATTTACATGCTCGTCGGTAATAGTTTAGTTAGTCAAGGCTCAAAGTAAAGCGGAGGTTTCCCGCGGGTAGGACGTCTCGCGTGATTTAGCGGATAATATCGCGAGACCTTCCAAAGTCCGGTTTTGTTGACCTTATCCAGTTTTATTGTCACAAATATGCATTGTATATTGTTATTAGGACTTAGGTAAAGTAAGAATGTTTAAACCGAAGTCAATGTAAATGCATGAGAGATAATTATATACTCAGTTTGAAGTAATGTAAATGTATTTTTGTTCAAAGATAACTAGTATTTTTAGTGTGCAGCCCATTATTTATTTGATAACTAATTACAGTTAAGCATGGAACAGTGGAGCAACTGTTTATTCACCACCAAAGTGGTGCTGAGACATGTCACTCAGGTGTTTAAGTAATTATATTGAGAACTTGAGTTAAGAAAATATGGGATAAAAATGCACTTTATTCATGCTGTTATAATGTTTGAATGTTAATGTTTGAATAAACCCAGATGCAGTCTGGATGCGAATGTCAGCGCACCGTGAGAGTTCTGTTCTGATGTCACATTGTGTTTTCCAGGCTGCACTAATTCACTGCTACGCAGCCCCGGCACTCGGGGCCCGTAACAGATTGTGGGGGCTCGTCCGGGATCAGCACGCCATCGTCAATGGGCCACTGCTGATTCAGTGATTCTGAACTTTGGGACCACAAGACCTGCATGTTTCCTGAGCCAGGGGTGACCCAGTATGCAGTAGAGAGGCTAGTGACCAGTGAAAAAGGTGCACCAGCCTACAAAGTGCGACACTGCGAACCCGAGCATCAGAGACCAGCAGGATGTCGGCCATCGGGAGGAAAGGTGTAGTTTGGAGCATTAAAAAGAAGCTACACCAGCTAACAGCTAAAGAAACTTACCAGATTGCAACCAGTTTAGGAGACGTCCAAGGACTTGACTCTACACAGTTAAGTCAAGATGATGAAGAAAGCTGTGTTGAGTATCTGACAACTTATCTGACATGTCCAGCAATCCTGGAACGGGAGGACCAGGGTCTGCCATTGCTAAAGAGACTTGAAAACATCATAGACGGAGCCATAGTAAGTCGTAGCCGAGGTCCAGTGCTTGATGAAACTGAGGCACGCAGCGGGGAGCTGGCTGCACACCCTTCCCAGCCACTAGCAAGCACTAGTGACACAGATGTACAGACACTGTTAGCCCGTTGTGATGATATTCAAAGTCAGCTGAATCAAGCCCTGTCGGCTGCAGGCCCCCCAAACCCAGGGATACCTTTCCAATTTCCAGCTAGTAGTCACTCCATTCCTCAGCAAGCACCTCAGTCACCAGCCCCACAAGCAACAGGGGGCCTACCAATCTCAGCTTGTGTGCTCACGCAACAGCTGGCCTCGCCACAACACTCTTTCATGTACTCACAGAATGTTCCCAGCTGTACTGGTGAAAGCATGATAGCCATGAAAGACTTGCCACTGCTGTCCCACAAAGAATTCAAAATACATGGGGGAATGATAAGTGACACTACGGCTGAAGTAAGCTACCATAGCATTTGCAAACAAATTGATGAGGGGCTCAAAGAAAAGCACACACCAAATGAAATCATCAGAGGAGTGCTCCGTGCAATTAAGCCAGGCAACTTCAGAGACATGTTGACGGTCAAAGACGGTCTCACAGTGACAGAGCTCAAGAGTTTCCTGCAGTCCCATCTAGGTGAGAAGAGTAGCACAGAACTCTTCCAAGATTTGATGTGTGCCAAGCAACATGACAACGAAACTCCTCAACAGTTCTTATATAGAATGATCGGACTGAAACAAAAGATCCTGTTTTCACTCAAACAGCCAGACTCAGTGGTTAAATATGACATGCCTACCATTCAGTGTATCTTCCTAAACACTATTTGTCAGGGCATAGGAGAGAGATATGAAAGTGTGCGCAGAGACCTAAAGACACTCCTGGGGGACCCCGCTGTTAGTGATGAAGCCCTGCTCCGCCAGGTAATAAAAACTACAACAGAGGAGAGCGAGCGGAAACGCAGACTTGGCCGCAGCTCCACCCCAAAAGTGAGTCACGCACATGCAGCTAACACTGAGCACAAAGAGAAAAGCAAGGATGACATCAAAGTGAGCCACACTGATAAAGACTCCACAATCCAAAGACTCAGTGCCCAAGTAGAAGCACTGACACAAGCTATGGAAAGTCTAAAAGCCTTCACAGCTCAGGTAACAATGCCTGCACGGAAGGACAGTTTGCTCAAACCCCAAACTGAGAGGAGGGTGCAGAGGCCCAAAAGCTGTGAGAACTGTGCATCTCAGGGCAACCCAACCTGTCACCATTGCTTTGCCTGCGGGGAGGAAGGACATCGCGCTGTGGGATGCCTGAAGAGGAACAAGCCGTCGGGAAACTGGAGGCGGTCAGGGCAGAGGGACTAACCCTGGCCGACAACACTCAGCTGTCCCCATCGAAGAAAAAGTCCAACACCAAAAAGTCAAGAAAAGCAGGCAACACCACCCCACAAGAAGCTGTGGACAAAGAAAAGCCACGTGGTATCACCGCCCCATTGGTTGGTCGCCAGTCCCTCCTCAAGTGTATGATGGCTGGTTATCCTGAAACAGTAGTGTTAGACACAGGGGCTGGGGTTAGCCTTATAGACCACGCATGGCTAGACAGATACTTACCAGGGCAACAGATCAGGCCTTTAATTGAACTAATGGATGGTGATCTCGATGTGAAAGCTGTCACAGGGGACACAGTGCCTTATGATGGGTGGGTAGAGGTAGTAGTCAACCTAGAGGGTAACAATGATCCAGACAAATCTATACGTGTGCCCTTTCTAGTTAGCCGCCTCAAGATTGAAAGACCCATAGTAGGCTTCAATGTCATTTATGAGTTCATTAAAGACAATGGGGGAAACTACAAACTCATACAGCTTATTGGTAGAGCTATGGAGATTGAGGTTACTGCTGTAAGTGCTTTAGTGAGTTTTATCAAGACACAAAAACGGACTATAGATGAACCAGCAACTGTAAAAGTGGGGTTTAAAGGTGCTACTATCTACCCTAGTCAAGTTGCTTACATTAAGTGTAGAGTCCCAGAGAGTATTAGCTCTACCGAGTCAGTTGTACTGTTTGAGCCTGTGCTTGACGATATCCACCTTGAGCAACTTAGTGTTGGAGCAGGGCTCTTAGAAATTCAACAAACAGAGAGGCCATATGTCAAGGTACCAGTGTCAAACTACTCTCAACAAAGTGTGACTCTGCCCAGCTCAACCATTTTGGGTTCTATTGAGCCTATTGCCAAAATTGTTGAGACGGACAACACGAAAGATGCTTGTGAAAAAGTGCCAGTCTCCATCCACACTGTTAACTCAGTGTCTAGGTCCAGCCAAGGCTCGGAGTCACCTGCCCGGTGGCACCCCCCAGTGGACATTAGTCACCTGACACCAGGACAACAAAAAGAGGAAAAACAGATGTTATTTGAGGAATCGGGCGCTTTTGCTCAAGATGACGGTGACATTGGCAACATTTCCAGTTTGCAAATGACAATAAACCTCAAAGATGACATTCCAGTCCAGCGCACATATACTGCTATTCCCAAGCCATTATATAAAGAGGTAAAAGAACACATCCAGGACCTCCTTGCTAAGGGCTGGATAGTTAAGTCACAGTCACCCTTCGCTGCACCTGTTGTCTGTGTGAGAAAACGAGATGGCACGCTGAGACTGTGTATTGATTACCGTTTGCTAAAC